TAAATCTTTAAGAAAGTACAGGAAAGGTGCTTTAGAGGCAAGAATGGTGAAACCTTGCCTCACTTACTTTAAGCATGTTGTTAGGGTGAACCAGTGCTTAGAAAAAGACATCATGTTTGAAAAGTCTCCAAAGAGAGGAAGACTTTCAACAAGATGGACTGACATCATAACAGTAACAATGGACTCAAGTATATCAGAGATGATAAAGATGGCACAAGCTAGGGCAGCATTCAGATCCATTATTCACAGGCTGGCTATGAGCTGTAGTGGACTAGATGGTACCCAAAACAACATTTCTAATAAGTGTTCTCCCTATTAGTATACCACAAATTCCTATTGGTTTCTTAGTACCCCTTATTTTTGTAGTTACAAAAATGCAGGCTGTTCACCAGCAAGTTATTTTGTTTTATATGTTTTTTAAATTTTTGTTTTTGTCTCTCCTACCTCAATTCTGACTGATCTACATAGTTTCCTCTTAGTTTTAATGAATGCATAAAATGCCTTTCTCACCTTCTGGCCTGTAGATTCTCCACCTGAATTACATTTCTGATCAGTTTAACACTCCAATTACTCTGGTGGCATAGTGGATAAAAAGTTGCACTGCCAAGCCAAAGGCAGGTGAGTTAAAACCACTAGCTATCTCTTACTAAGGACTGGCCCTTCTGGATAACATGCCAACACGTGAGATGAAGTTTTACCATCCTTGTCTCTAAGAAGCACCCTGGTTATACTTTCTGAAAACCAAATGTGTTTGATCTTTTGATTGTCCATGGTATATTCAACACTCTTTGCCAGCACTATAACTAAAAAGCATCAACTCTTTTTCTGTCTTTCTTATTCATTGCTGAACTTTAACATGTATATGAAACAAGTGAAAAAATAATCACAGAACAGAGAAGGTATGCCAAATAGAAACAATAGAAAAACATGAAAATGCAATCCTGAATAACAAGACAGATATTACAGAAATTTTCAACAAGTTCAAGGGACAAAACAATAGGACATAAGAGAGAGAACAGAGAGTCGGTGAGATAGAAGACAATACACTCAAGGGAGTTCTGATGGCCTAGTGGCAAGAAGCTGCACTACAATCCCAGAAGTACACAGTTTGAATCCACCAGATGATCTGCTGGAGAAGGAAAGGCTATCTCCTCCTGTACCAATCAGATCTGATTTGACGGTACACACACACACACACACAAAAAAATAGTAAAAAAAACAAAACCCTTAAAAAATACCCTTAATGAGAACTTCCTAGAAAAAAAGGCAAGAACAATATGGGAAGGAAAAAGAAGAAAACATAAGAATCATGTCGGATGATACTAAGCAAAACAACATATGTGGCAGCAAACAACAAATACTGGCAAGGTTGAGGAGAGATTGAAACTCTTATTCACTGCTGGTGGGAATGTAAAATGGTACAACCACTATGGAAGACAGTCTTGCACTTTCTCCAAAAGTTGGAAATAAAAATACCATTTGACCCACCAATTCTACTACTAGGTACATACCCTAAATAAACTAGAACCACAATTCAAACAGATGTATGCACACCAATGTTTATTGTTGCATTATTCACAATAGCAAAGAGATAGAAGCAAACCAAGTGCCCATCAACAAACAAATGGATAGAAAAATTATGGTATGTCCACACAATGGAATACTACACAGCACGGAAAAACAATAAATTTGTAAAACATTACACAACATGAGGGAGCCTTAAGGACATTATGCTAACAAATACTGCATAACACCACTGTTATAAAATAAGACAGAGATGGGAGGGTTGAGGGGAGAAAAGGAAAGAGTGGATAGATAATGAACACTGTATTAGAACAAATGAGGAGAAGGAATGTCTAAAAGTAATATGAGATTATTCATTTTTCATACAAGAACAATCTGAAATAAAGGGTGCATTGCGGGGTGGGCTGCAGAAGGGGGAGGCAAAGAGGGGAGAGAAAATATACAATAATTAATAGACACAAGAAAAGGGGGAAAAACCACCAACAACACATAAATGATTGAAATTTCAGAGCAGGAGTGTGGGGAAAAAAAACACTGAGAAAATTGTGGAAAATATACTAGAAGAAAACATTCCAGATATCATAAAAAAAAAAACCCCAAGGATGCATATACAGTCAAGAAGCTCAAAGAACTCCAAACAGATTAGACTCCAAAAGAAAAATACCAAGATATTTCATAGTCAAATTCTTCAAAATCAAAGACAAGAATAGAATACTAAACACACGTAGAGAAAAACAGTCACCTACAAATGATAGCCAATTAGATTAAGGTCTGATTTCATAGCAGAAACAAAGCAAGCAAGAAGACAATGGGATGGCATACACTAAAGAGTAAAAGAAAATAATTGCCAACCAAGAATTCTGTACACAGCAAAAGTGCCCATCAAATATGAAGCAGAAATTAGGTCATTTGCAGAAAAGCAGAAACGTAAGGATTTTGTGAAAACAATACCAAATATATAAGAAATACTTTGGGAAAAATTTCACACAGAGACAGCAAGGAAAAGTGGATGGACCAAAGGAATCAGCAATAACCAATAACCAATAACATAACAAAAAAAAAGAAAGAAAGAAACTCAACCAAATGGTAATAAGAAAGCCTGGTCTGTCAATAATCACATTGAACGTGAATGATTTAAATGACTTAAATGCATCTGTTAACAGAAAAAGAGTTGTAGAGTGGATAAAAAAAAAAATCCAAAACCCAACAATATGTTTACAAGAGACATCTAAGAAAGGAGGAGACAGATTAAAATCAAAAGGTGGGGGGAAAAAATCAAGTCAATTGCATCCATAAGAAAGAAGAATTAATTTCTGATAAAACAGATTTCAGGGTGAAAACCTGCATAAGAAACAAGGGAGGTGATTGCATATTGCTCAGAGTCACAATAGAACAAGAGTACATAATCTTACTTAATATCTATGAACCAAATGATAGACCTCCAAAATATACAAATATTAACAGACTTGAAAAAAGAGATAGATAGCACCACAATATTAGTATGAGACTTCAACACATCGCTAACACTAAAGAATGGGATAATTTGAGAGAAATTCAACAAAGACATAGAAGAACTAAACTATACAATTGGCCAACTCAACCTCCTAGACATACTCAGAGACTACTATACCCAATAAACACTCAGTCTACTTTCTTCTCAAGCACACACAGTATATTCTCCAGAACTGACCATCTATTTTAGCACAAAGCAAATTAAAAAGCATTGAAAGAATAAAAAACACCTTCTCAGACCACAATACCATAAAACTAGAAATTAACAATAAGAGAATAAAAGATAATAAATGACTCACTTGGGAGCTAAATAATACATTGCCTGATTACTACTGGATGTAGAAGAAATTTTTTTTTAAAAAAAGGATATAAAAAAGTCCCTTAAATGAATGAAAATGAAAATATAATACATCAAAACTTTGGGGATACAGTAAAGGCAGTCTTCAGAGGTCAATTCACAGCAATAAGCAAACATATTAAAAATTATAAAGGAGTGAAATAACCTACTTAACCTAATATTTCCAACAAATAGAAAAAGAACAAGTGAATCCCACAGCCTATACAAGAAAGGAAATTACTAAATTTGAAATCAGTGAGATAGAAAACAGAAAAACAATACTGAAACAATCAACAAAACCAGTAGCTGGTTCTTCAAAAGGGTCAATAAAATAGACAAACTACTGGCAAACAAACAAACAAAAGACGACAATAACTTGAATAAGAAATTAAAGAGGCGATGTCATGACAGAACTACCTGAAATGAAAATGACAATAACGGGATTATTATGAAAACTATACTCTGAAAAATTTGAAAAACTTAGAAGAAATGGAAAAATCCCTGGAAGTTCACACCCTACCCAAACTAGCACAGAAATTAAACACTTGAACGGACCTATCACAAGAGAAATAATTCATCAGGTCATAAAAAGACTCTCAATCAAAAATGTTCCAGCCCAGACGGCATCATGAGTGAATTCTACTAAACATTCTGAGATGAACTGTCACCAATAATAGAAAAAGATGGAACACTCCCAGAGTATTCTATGAAGCAAGCATAATTCTGAAACCCAAACCAGTCTGTAGACTGAGCTTCATCAGTAAGTCTTGTTTTCTGTAAGAAAGGCTGTGTTATCCATATATCACATGTTATTATGAGATGTCCTCTCGATGTAACATTCTTCATATAGCCCAGTTTCTCGGGTTATTTGTTCAGCATATAGGTTAAACAGTAATGGGGAAAAGATTCAACTCTAACACATAACTTTGCTGATTTTAAACCATGCAGTATTCCCTTGGATGGGCAAACAATTGTTTTTTCCCATTTTCCTAACATTATCCATAACTTACGTATTTCAGACATATGAGGAGGAAGTAGTCCCCTTGGGAAGCACAGCATGCTTTGTAGAGAGTCATCTAAAAAGAGGAAAGTATTCAAAGAGATGAAATGACACATTGACTACAACTGTGGGCTCAACTATGGCAATAATTGAGAAGATGGCACAGTATTGAGTGGTGTGGTTTGTTCTGTTGCATTATCTTAAGTTTTTCTTGTACAGCAATTTGTTTGCCAATTAGGAGTTTTAATTTCTGCACACAAAGAGCTTGGAAGCTGTCAATTCCATATGTAAGAAACAGAACAAACTGGATTTCAACACTTTAGAGATAGTCAAGAGATCTGACTAAAAACTGAGATCACTAGAATTCACTGGAGCGACAAAGTGACAGAAATTTTGTTCTACCAGGCTTCCCCATTCGGTCAGAAATCAATGTATTTCACTAATTTCTCTGACCTACACTTGTTGCTAATTTTTTTGCATTTAAAATGGACTTTAGTGTTTACTATGCTGATCAAATAAACCAGACAAAGATTCTGGCCATCATCTATCTGCTCCTTCATTGGTACCTGAAATAGCTTCTTCTTCTTCTTTTTTTTTTTTTTTAGCGCACTAAGCTCCATATGGCTCATGCATTTTATCCTAAACTTTACCAGTATCTTCAGTGCGGATTCAGTGTGGGCTCCGGGAAGTACTCTTCACTCACAAGATGTCACACACAGTACCCCAGCAGGAACTCCAGATACTCAATTACAAAAAAAGTCATCAAACTTGAAGATGGAGGGTGCACGGTGGGTGGAAAGTTCTTCATATAGAAGAGAAGAATCTGTAACAGTTTCCACATTGCCATTTGGTTTCAAAAGTTAGAGTTCGTGCGCTTGGGGGAAATGTTGAGCTCTAGCACACTAAAAGAAACGGCCAGCCTGAATCATGGGCCTGTTTAGGAGGCTGGTTAGCGGGCTCAAAAGAAGCTCTGCGCTGATTGGATCCTGTTTCTGCCAATAGGAGGCCACGTGCAGGTTGACCTTGGTCCGGGGATTGGCGGCGCTCAGGCGGTTGCTGGGACACCGCGTAAACACTGTGGAGTGGCGCTGGAGCCGTCCGCTCGGCAGCTGCTCTCTGCTTTAGCTGTGGAAAGTGGCGGTCGCGTGAGGCAGGATGTTTTCACCGCCCAAGATGGTGAGCTGGTCTTAATGGTGGAGGGCTTGAAATACTTGTTTAATTTTTAATTTCGTTGAGAGCCATCAGCTTTTGCAAGTTGCGCTGCTAACCCAAAGACAGCGCCTTCTCTGATGGCTCAAATCCACAAGCAGCACGTCCGGAGAAAGATGTTTGTTGTTGTTATCGTTGATACGTGCTGTCTAGTCGGAACAGATTGTGAATTTTCAAAAGCAGCTAATCACATAGGAGGAGATTGCTCATCCTTCTCCAGCTGGTGGATTTGAACTGTGTGCCTTTGATAGCAGTGCAGCTTCTTAGCAATTGGCCCATGACTAAGCTCCAAAACTCCCCTGGAGCGACAGTCATGTGTCAGTTCTGACTTGACGGTTATAAGATTATGAGATTACTTTATTAACATATCAATGTATTTGTCTACCATATGTTACTGTTTTGTTATGGTAAATTATCTGAATGTAAGAAGGAAGCCGCTGGCCTGCAAATATTAATTACCTATCTCTGGATCTTTTAAAAATTAGACTTTGAAACCTCAAAACATGCAGACTTTTCTTTCCTTTTTGCCTTATAGGCTTCCAAAAGGAGAACTTTGAACTTTGCTGAAAGACATCAGAAATTGGTAGATGAAAACTACTGCAGAAACCTGCATATCCAAGCGCTTAAAAAGATAGAGAATCAAGTCAGAGACCTAAAGGTGAATAGTGAAAATGACAGCCGTATTGAGCAGAAGAGATTCCTCAGATTACTACAGAATGAACAGAGTGAATTGGATATGGAAGAGGCAATTCAGAAGGTAAATTTTACTGTTTTTTGTTACATTACTTTTCTCTTTTCCTTGGAAATTATGAAAGCAACTTGCTGATACTGCTGTTGTTAAGTGTTGTAGAGTTGAGCACAACTCATAGCAAGCCTATGAACAAAAGACCTGAACCCTGGTTTGTAACTATCGTTGTTTCTCAAAGTTAATAGAGTTTCCAGAGGCATGTTGTTTAGGAAGTGGATGCCACTCCTGTTTACAAGCCTGTCTTAATCCTGGAGTTCCTCCAAACACTATCCACCATGGCTAACCATTATGGCATTTGACACACCAGTGTCACTGCATTCATTATCACCGCAAACCCAAGCTACCTCAGTACAGTTGACAGACCAGTGCTATACCACTTCGAAAAATGTTCATTCCAAATGCAGTTAACACCAGGCTGAGGGTCTAGCCGACTTTTAAATGCACAGGCCCACCCAACTAGAATTGAGTAAAGATAGACAAGACAATCAGGTAAATAATGCCTCCCTGTGTGTTATGCCAGTATAGTGATAAATGGTTGGGTTCTTGACACTGGACTGCATATCTTTGAATCCTAGTACGGCCCTTGGAGGACTTCCATTGCCTAGTTTGTAAAGTTGCACTGCTAACCCAAAGCCAAGCCGCTCTTTCTGATGATTTAAATCTACAAAGAATGAGATTGGCAATCTCCTTCCATGTGAATTACAGCCTCAGAAATCCATGGGAGGGTCAACTATAAGCTGATTCCAACTCAACACCAATAATGGAGACTGCAGTCTATTACCTGTAGAACCTTGGGTTAAGTGCTTTTTTATGTCTCGGTTATAAAAAGGGATGTAATAATAGTACCTGTTTCATGGAATTGTAATAACTAATACATTTAAATCAATTGTTGTAATAATTAATACATGTTTGCCTGGCACAGGTAAACATTTTATTTTTATATAAGAACACAATCTGTAGTTGTAGCAGCCATAATTTTGCTTAACTAGGTACAATTGTGATACATTCCACAAAATTCCAAAGTCAAATACTTATTAGTAAGATTATATTGTTTGAATTTACTGAAATTAAACATATACATTATTTGGTAGTAGAAAATGAACATTTTTCTACTACCTAGTAGAAAGCATTACCACCTAATACTTAGTGTTAAGCATTTTTACAATTTTTAAAAATATTTCCCTGAAGAATTCCAATACTTCACAGATACAAAACTCCTGCAATATGCAGATTATTTTCAATGGAAATTTCTAAAAATTCTGAAAACTCAAAATTTATGAAGAAGAGATGCTAAAAAGAATGGAAATAAGACACATGAGAGAATGAATTTTTATACATGTGAATAAGTTATTCTGATATTTCAGTGTTTTTTGAGTGTCTATTCAAGACAGTGGGAAATAGGAAAAGCAGGTCTTAAAATTGACCTTTAAAGAAGTTTCTGTTGGTTTAATCTGTAGAATGTTGCACATCTTACCACAATTGGTGCCTACTTTTTTGTATTCAGATTAAAAATGCTTTGTCGTGATGCCTTTTTAACCCTGAACAGTTAGACTCTAGGAATTAGATTTTTAAAAGTTCATTGTGGACTCATGCATCTATATATATTTGGAGTCACTTGTGCTTTTTATTACTTTTGATGCTTAAGTCAAATCTCTTTTTATACTTAAATGAAAGCTCTGGTGGTCTAGTGGTAAGAAGCTGTGCTGCTATCCCAAAGGTGTGTAGTTCGTATCTACCAGCTGTTCTGTGGGAGTAGGGTGAGCATTTCCTCCCATGCAGTTTACTGCTTCTGAAAACTCACTGGAGCTTCATCCTTGGGTCAATTCTGACTTGATGGTGGTGGTAGTTGTTGTCAAGTACGACTCAGCAACCCTTTTGAATAGATCTGAATCTCATCCTATCCTGTGCCATCCTCACTATCTCAGAGAGAATGAACCCCATTTCTGCAGTCACCATGTCAGTCCTTCTCAAAACATATCCTTTTCCATGGAATAGCCTCTCCTAGCAACATGTCCAAAGTATGAGAGATGAAACTTTGCCATCCTTTCCTCCAAGGAGCACACTGGCTATATCTTTTACAAAATATACCTGTTCATTCTTTTGGTGGTCCAGGGGATTTTCATTACTCTTCTCCACACCACAACTCAAAGGCATCATTTCTTCTGTTATCCTTATTCATAGTCCAGCTCTCAGATGCATAGGAAGTAATTGAAAAAAACATGGCCTGAATCAGGCTCATCTTAATCTTAAAATTGACAATACTGTTCTTCAGTATTTTGGAGTGATACCTGAGAACAGACTTGCCCAAAGCAATACATCTTCTGATCTCCTGACTGCTGGTTCCACAATGTTGACTGTGGATTGAAGAAGACAAAAAACATTAACAGTTTCAGTACTTTTTCTGTGTCTCATGATGTTGCTCACTGGCCCAGTGGTAAGGATCTTTGTCTTCTTGATGTTAAGATGCAATCCCTATTGAAGGCTTTGTCTTCTGCAACAAGCGCTTCCCTTTCAGCAAGCAAGGTTGTGTTATTTGCATAACACAGGTTCTTATTGATTCTTCCTTTGATCCTGATGCCACATTCTTCTTCATAGAGTCCAGCTTCCATACAAATCGAATAGATAAGGATAAAGACTACATCTCTGAGGCACGCTCTTTCCAATTTTAAACCATACAGTGTTTCCTTGTTGAGTTTGGATAAGATCTTCTTTGTTTCAGTTAAGTGTACTGAGACTCACATTCTTGTCGATGTTAACCATAGTTTGTTGTTACCTGCACAGTCAAATACATTTATATAGTCAATAAAACAGATAGACATCCTTCTGATATTCACTACTTGACAGAACATAACAACAGTAATAACAAATTGTCTTATCCTTCGCTGATGAATGTCCTTTTTGTTGTTTTCCATGTCCTTTGGTTAATATTCATTAAGTCTTTGATAGTGTCCTTGCCTCTTGTCAGAAGAAAATATCCTGTATATGAACTCTGTAAGGAAACCAGTATGTTGTTGTTACTATGTGCCCTCAAGTCGCCTGTGACTCATAGTGACCCTATGAACAACAGCCTTGGTCTTACAGGCTGAAATCAAGATGTTGACCAGCATACTTTCCCTTTAGAGTCTGAGTTTCTCTTCTAAAATAGTGAGAGGGTTTTAGCAGAATTTATTTGCTTGTAGTTATGAGAATGAGGCCCTCATCTCCTAGAGAGCTCCTAAAGTTCCCTGCCACATGGAACTCATTACATCATGCAGCTTGCTTTTCTAAGGCCAGCAGGACAGCAAATAATGTTTGTGTCACTTTCAAAACCTTGCCTGATGAGGTCAGTCCCGCCACTGAAAACTATTTTCAATTTTTTAATGTCTGTTTGTTATTCTTTTATCTTCTGATGTTGCTTTTGTTGTTATGTGCCTTCGAGTCACCTGCGACTCATAGCAACCCTATGTACAACAGCCCTAAACCCTGCTCCGTCCTGTGCCAGTCTCACTGTCTCTAACACACCTACCCCGATTACCCCAGTCACTAAATCAATCTACCTTCTCCTGTGCTGTCCCTCTACCCTCCCAAGCATAACATCCTACTCCAAGGACTGGTTCCTCCTTGCAACATGTCCAAAGTACATCAGACAAAGCTTTAGAATCCTTGCCTCCAAGGAGCAGCCTCTCCAAGATGAACCTGTTAATTTCTTGCTAAGAAAATGGTACATTCAGTACTCTTCTCCAGCACCACAGCTCAAAGGCATTAAGTCTCCTTCTATCCTCCATAGTCATTGTCTAGCTCTCTGATGCATAGCAAGTGATTGCAAAGACCATGCCCTGTTTCAGTCGTGCCTTAGTCTCCAGAGAGACACCATTGGTCTTCAGTACTTTGGAGAGGTCCCTAATAGCAGACTTTCCCATGGCAAAACGTCTTTTAATTTCCTGGCTGCTGTTACCAAGAGTGTTGACTGTGGAGCCAAGCAAACTAAAGCTGTGAACAATCTCAGTCTCTTCACCATCATCCTGATGCTGCCAATAGGCCCAGTGGTGAGAATCTTTGTCTTCTTGATATTGAGCCTCAATCTTTATTGTTGTTGAGGCTAACTTCTTTGCTAGCCTTACTATACTAGGAAGTGGGAAACATGTCTTAGAAGTTCAATATTGCCACAAATTCTCCACTAACACTGGAGGATGTGAGGGTCATGTTACCAAATAGAAGACTTGAAAGCCCTGACTCCCAATTTTGCTTTCTCTGGAATATTAATGAGGTTAATGAGGTGCCTCATTATAACCTCATGGGTGGAAGTCTACCCTCTCCATAGAACCTTTGCATGTGAGGATACAGATAGGCCACAGCTGTTTTTTTTTCTGTGGTGTCTGGATGAAGTAGACCATTATATTATCTAAAAGTTATCTGTTGCGCTTGCATCCTTTTTCTTCTTCCCCTTTGACTGGAGAGAGCAGGCTATTGTTAAATCTCTTTTTGTCTGTTTTGGGATTTCTGACTTCTTTGGGTAGGATATATGAGGCAAAAAGAAAATTATGGTCTTTAGCAAGTCATTTTTCTTCCTTTTTGCTCATTTCATAGTCTTCTCCAAAAGACTTTTTTCTGTATGTAACATCTTGGGGAAAGTACCTCTTTTGTTTAAGTCTTTCTTAAACTAGCATTCTCTCCTGCTGTTTTTATTGTTTTAAAATTGTCAGTGACTTGTAGAGGTTATCTCCTAGGAAGTCCCATTAAGTTAAAAAATTTTTTTATTCATTCATTGTTGCACATTTTCTTCCCTCCTCCTTCCTAATCGCTCTCCCAGTCCACTTTGCCATGCACCTCTTGTTTGAGATTGTTGTTATACATATAATACCGAATCACGTATTTCCTTCATCTGTTCCAATGCATTGTTCATTATCTCCTCTCCGTTCTCCCACACTGTCCCAATGTCAGTCCTGTTTTATAACAACAGTGTTATGCAGTATTTACCCCTTTGTGACTGAGATATTTCATTCAGCATAATGCCCTCCTGGCTTCTCCATGTTGTGTAATGTTTTATGAGTTCATTGTTTTTCAGTACTGCATGATACTCCATTGTGTGTATGTACCATATTTTTCTTTGCATTCGTTTGTTGATGGGCACTTGGGTTATTTCCATTTCTTTGCTCTTGTGAGTAATCCAGCAGTAAATATGGGTGTGCATGCATCTGTTTGCCTTGTGGCTCTGGTTTCTTTAGGGTATATTCCCAGTAATGGACTTGCTGGATCTAATGGTATTTCTATTTTCAGTGTTTTGAGAAAGTGCCAGATTGCCTTCCATAGTGGTTGTACCATTTTACATTTCTGCCAGCCATGAATAAGAGTACTAGTCTCTCCAAACCTCACCAGCATTTATTGTTTGTTGCCCTGTTGAAGCTTGCTTTATTGCTGGGGTGAGATTATATCTCAGTTATTTTGATTTGCATCTCTCTGATAGCTAAGGATTTCCAACATTTCTGCATGTGTGTGTTTGGCATCTGAATGTCTTCTTTGGTGAAGTGTCTGTCCTTTGCCCATTTTGTGATTGGATTGTTTACCTTTTTCTTGTTGAGGTGCTGGATTTTTCTGATTATTTCCTTATCATTTACCTTCTAGTCTTTTCCTGAAGTTTCTCAAAAAGTAGAAGTAAGACTAAAGGGCAATTAGATACAAGTATATTTCATAGGTGATAAAATATTACACCATATAATTTTCATGTCATATCATATCAAGCAAAACATAATTTCAGATTGTCTTATTGTTGGTGATATTAATATTGGTTAAAATAATAACAATCCAACCTGCTTTGTCAAAACATTGAGGCCTCTGTAAGGGCAGTAGCATCTGACCTTCACTAACTGTACAAAGTGGAAAATCCCCATCAAGAACATCCACACCACAAAGCTGATTCCTGTGAGGTGACATGTACTGTGCTTTTGTACCTTCTGTCACTTCTAATACCAGCTTTCCCTGCCATGACTTTTACTGCTTGGTCTGCAGATCCCCTTGCAATAGCCACCACACACACAAAACTCACAGAAAGTACTCATGATTATAGGTGTTTTAAAGGTATCGATCATATAAGCCACTATTCTAGGAATGAAAAATTGAGGAAGAATGGTGTTGCATTCATAGTTAAAAAAGATAATTTAAAGTTCTATCCTGAAGTACACTTATGTGTCCGGACACTCTCCAAACACATACAAGGAAAACTTATTAATGCAACTATTATTCAAATATGTTGTTGCTTTGAACCATAGAGTCAAAAGTGACCAATAGTTGACCCTCTAGTAGCAGATTTTCAGAAGCAGTAAATCGCACAGGAATTCATTCCCTTCTTTCTCCTACAGAGCAACTGGTGGATTTGAACCATTTAGCCTTGCATTGGCAGTGTGATTCTTTACCATTTACCCCTAAGCCACCAGAACTCCCTTTATTAAAATATAAGCACAAAAAACTAAAGCCCAAGAGGAGTAAATTTAGCCTTTCTATTAACTTTTGCATGCGAGTTTGGGTGCCTTAGTAGTGAGAAATTGCACTGCCAACACAAAGGTACATGGTTTGAATCCACCAGATGCTCCACAATGGGCAGTGTCCTCCTGTGTGATTTATTGCCTCTGAAAACCCGCTGGGGGCTCAGCTGTCGTTGGTTCTGACTAGACTGTAAACAACAAAAACAAACTTTTTTTTTTTACATCACAGCATTATATTTATAAAAATGTATTCATTTCCTCTAGGTTTTCACATAAAAACAAACTTTTATAGTCTGAAATTAACTACACATGCAATTATTACATTAATAAGATTGGTGATTAGAATGCAAAACTTGGAAACAGTGAAGAAATAGTAGTCGGAAAGTATGAACTGGTGACAGAAATGAGGCTGGAGAAATGAGTGAGTGAATTTTGTGCATTCAATGATTTATTCATTGCAAATACCTATTTTAAGAACCACAAATGACAGCTATGCACATATACCTCACCTGGTGGGGACTACACAGGAATCCGATTAACTACATTTATGGAATTAATTATTAGAGAAGTCAAAACCAGGCCAGATGCTGATTGTGCAACAGATCATCAATTATTCATGTGCAAGTTCAAATTGAAGCTGAAGAAAATGAAAACAGGCCAACAAGAACCAAAATATGACCTTTAGCCAAATTCCACCTGAATTTAAAACTCATCTGAAGAATAAATTTGAGACATTGAACACTAATGATTAAAGACCAGGTGAATTGTGGGATGACATCAGTGATATCATTCATGAAGAGAGCAAAAGATCATTACATAGACAAAGGAAAAAGAAAAGACCAAAATTGTTATCAGGAGAGACTCTAAAAACTTGCATTCGCGCATTGAGAAGTCAAAATTTAGGGAAGAGATGCAGAAATAGAAGAGTTGAACAGAAGATTTCAAAAAGCACCTCTAGAAGACAGAGCAAATTATTATAATGGGATCTGCAAAAAGCTGGAGTCAGAGAATGAAAAGAACTTGCTCAGCATTTTGCAAGCTGAGAGAATCAAGGTGTGATCAAAATATTGAATGATCTAGAAAGCATCCAAAGAAGATGGAGAGGATACACAGAGTCCCCTGTACCAAAAAGAATTGACTGACCTGGTTGATAGTTACCTAAGAGAATACTGTGAGTGCTTTTTACTATTGTTGATATTTGAAAGTTTCCATATGAACATGCTTGAAAACTATTTCTTGAAATAATATTTTTAACTTTAAAATCACATTAATATTTTAATTCTATATAAATAATAACAGGTTTTACCATTACAGAGGAATTTGCAAAACATAATCTCTTGAATCAGCTGTGAAAAGACATCCTCAGGACACTTTGAGAATTATAAAACACATGAAATATTCAACCATATCTCCTAGGGAGTTTGCAGTTTTGTGTTAGGGAACAAATTAATTCATCCTAAAAGAAAAAAGAAAGGATGCTGAGGGGAAATAACGAAAACTATTTTTTCTTATGTAGGCAGAAGAAAACAAAAGATTGAGAGAACTCCAGCTTGAACAAGAAGAAAAATTGGCTGCAGAGTTGGCGAAAATAAAACATGAAAGCCTAAAAGATGAAAAGATGAGGCAACAAGTAAGAGAAAACAGGTACTTGGTCTCTCTGAATAATTTCGTTTACAAGAAACATACATAGATATTATGAAATAATATTTTTCATACTATGAAAACGATGTAGATATTAAAGATTATGAATAGTTACCAGGGCAGGGGAAGGAAGAAGAAAAGGAGAGTTTTTGTTCAGGGTGGGAAGACATTGAGTTTATGCTGTTTTGGTTGAGGACAGTGAAAATGGTGGCACAACTTGAAAAATATAGTCAATGTCATTGAGTTGTAAATGTGGAAATTGTGCTGTAGAATGCTAGACACTTATGCCTTTTTCACTTCTATTTAAAAAACAAAAAGTAATTAATTTTAAGCTATACCCTGCAGAGAGATGACCTCATTACTGTAGCAAAACTGTTTTCTCAAATGGGATTACAGCCACCCAAAAGCCAAACCCAACCCCCTGTCCTAGAATCATTGTGACCGTTCACTGGATTTCCAAGCTTGTCATAGTGCAGGAAAAAATTGCCCATTTTCTGTAGAGCTAGATTCTCACCACTGGACCAATTGGCAGCGTCAGGATTGATGGTGAAGAGATTGAGATTTTTCACAGCTTTAGTTTTCTTGGCTCCACAGTCAACACTCTTGGCACCAGTACCCAGGAAATTAAAAGGCGTATTGCTATGGGAAAGTCTGCTGTTAGGGACCTCTCCAGAGTACTGAAGAGCCATGGTGTCTCTCTGGAGACTAAGGTACACCTGATACAGGCCATGGTCTTTTCAATCACTTGCTGTGCATCAGAGAGCAATGACTATGGAGGATAGAAGGAGAATTGATGCCTTTGAGATGTGGTGCTGGAGAAGAGTATTGAGAGTACCATGGACTGCTAGGAGAACAAACAGATTCATCCTGGAAAGGGTTAAACCGGGTAGCTCCTTGGAGGCAAGGATTCTGAGGCTCCATCTAACATACTTTAGACATGTTGTAAGGAGAGACCAGTCCTTGGAGAAGGACATCATACTTGGTAGGGTGGAGGGACAGCGCAGGAGAGGAAGGTCCTCTATGAGGTGGATTGATTCAGTAACTGGGTTAATCGGGATTGGAGTGTCAGAGACAGTGCAGTTGGCACAGGACAGAGCAGAGTTTAGGGCTGATGTACATAGGGTCACTATGAGTCACAAGTGACTCAATGGCACGTAACAACAACTGGTGGATTTGAAGCACTGGACACTTGAAGCCCTTTGCTTAGCATTGCAACATGCCACCACAGTGCCTGTTATATCCACGGACCCTTATAAACCCAAATGCTAACTCTTTTGCCATCAGATCACTTCTGATGCACAGCAACACTATAGGACAGAATAGAACTGCCCAAAACATTACCATTCTGATTTATTTTTGGATGAAGAGAAAATGCATTTTATCCAAAATATTTAATTATCTTAATGTAGTTAGAAAAGAAATATAAAATTCTGAGTATAGATTATGCTTTGTAGTAGGACCAGAAATATGATTCTTATACTTAAATTTCTATGTTTTTCTCTTTTTTTAAAACAGTATTGAGCTCAGAGAATTAGAGAGGAAATTAAAAGCAGCTTACATGAATAAAGAAAGGGCAGCTCAGATTGCTGAAAAGGATGCCATTAAATATGAACAAATGGTAATTATGTTTCTGATTATAAAGTTTTTAATGTTTTAGCTTCATTAAAAAAATTAAATGTTTTTTAGAATTATTGTAGACTATAAAATAATTTATACTGCTAGATTTCATAAGTACTTTTAGTTTTAAGTATAGAAAATTATGAATGCTTTCCTATGGAACTCTGCTTAATTATAGTAGAGCCTTTCAGGGATGTGAAAAATTGGGTTGCTTTGCTTTCCGTATGGTCTCTAATTACTTCTTGCCAACACAGTGTAAATAAAATAGTATAATCAATTATATTTGAATGTTATTAAGTTTTATTTTTAAATGTGTTAAAAATATAAGTTTATGTTGAAGTTTCCTGTTTTATAAACAGTTATCTTATGTTGCTATTTTTAATCTGCTTATTTTCCTAGTGTTTAAAATACTACCAAGTTCAGTACAAAAGTTATATACATTCTTGGGCAAAGGAGTTTCAGGGGGACTCACCAGTAATGTTACATAATGTGCATATACAATTTATTGTTGAGGAAACATTTAGAAGCAGAGAAATCAGGTGCACATGTTCCCTTGAGCTGTCATTATCACACAGAAAGGCCAGATCTGTGTTTGAAGGTCTTATTGAGGCATCTAGTCTTTACCTTTCTCTATTTCCCTATTCACGTGTATGGCATTTTAGTAGTGGAGTTCTGTCTCTGCTGATCTCTTTCACAGATGTTACATAGCTATTACAGAGGAAGAAGTAGAGGTCAGTGATTAGGCTTTTAAAGTTGGGTAGAATATGTTGTAGCCTGTGGGGGGAAAAATAACAGAAAAATTTTTAAAGGATAGTTTATTGACCATTTGTACTTTTTATAAACTTGTACACATGTATATTTTAAAAAACACACACAAATAAATAGATATTTTGTATATCATTGTGCACATATATGCCACATACACCTGTATGATTAGAGGAATGATACAAAAATACTTAACCTGTGCAGTACAGTAAGGGTGCCAAATAATAATAACTGGCTGTAAATGATGTGTGTGTGTGTGTGTGTGTGTGTGTGTGTGTGTATAGTTGTTGTTGGTTGCCTTTGAACTGAGCACAACTCATAGCAACCCCATGAACAAAAGGCCTGAAGCCCTTCTACAACCATTGACATTTATCATAAGTTCATAGAGTTTCTGGAGGCAAGTTATTTAGGAAGTGGATGTCACTCCTGCTTCCAAACCTGTCATAAAATGTTATTGGTTGAGTCACCTGCAATGCATAGCGACCGTATGTATAGCAGCTTTGAATTCTTCCCTGTCCTGAGCCAGTGTCACTAATTCTGACACACCAACACCCATAGCCCCAGTCACTGTTATCAATCCATCTCATCCAGGGTCTCCCTCTCCTGTGCTGTCCATCCACCCTTCCGAGCATGATGTCCTTCTCCAAGGACAGATCTATGAGTCTTCATTTGTATTAATAGACAAAAAGTATAGAGGATTAAACAGCATGGTATGGTAGGAGATAAGAAGTGGTGGAGAGACTTCTTTCCTACATCTTATTGGTACAACTTAATAGCCTTTTTGTTTGTTTGTTTCTCCACCCTCTCCCCCTTAATACCTTTTTAAGAATAAACAAGAGATATATTCTTTAACTGGTGGTTTGCAGTTTTCATTATCCTGTCAGTTGATGTTGTTTAGACATTTGTAGACCTTTCAACTTGACTCCCAAGAGAATTCTTGGCTATTTTAAAAATAAAATTGATTATCAGAAATTAAATTCAGCTCTTTTTCTGGAATCCATGGCCATGCCAATGTAGGCAACTGCTGAGGTCTTCATACTGCCAGAAAGCTGAGCAGCCGCTGATGGTACCAGAACTGGCATGATAAACAGTACAAAAAAGCCCATTTGGGCACAGCTCTGAAGGCCAACCCCTGTGGAGGTGCTTCTCATGCAAAAGGAATTGTGTTGGAAAAAGTGAGTGTTGAGACCAAGTAGCCAAATTCTGCCACTACGAAGTGTGTCAGAGTCCTTATCACCAAGAACGGCCAGAAAATCATAGCCTTTGTGCTGAATGATGGCTTGAGTTTTATAGAGGGAAATGATGAAATTGCAAAGGTTTGGTCACAAAGGTCAGATTGTTGGTGACTTTAGTGGAGTCCACTTTAAGACTGTCAAAGAGGCCATTGTATCTCTTTTTGGCTTTATACAAAGACAAGAAGGAATGACCAAGATCATAAGTTTTTATGACAATGTCATAGTAATAAACTTCCAAAAAATAAAAAAGAAATTAAATTCAGATACCAAATTTAAGACCTGACTGTCACCATTCTTCAGTGCTACTTTTAGCCCTGCCTCTCTGAATCTTATCCCTAAAACAAGAACATTGTCTTTCTGTAAGTGTGTAGTACTCTGTGCATGATTTTTTTTCCATTTCATATTTTTTATAAAGAACTTAGTACGACATATCAAAGAAAGATCTACAAAAGAGACTTTTGGTAAAGCTGTTTTAATGGTATATATTGAAGATAGCAGATCATAAAAGACATTTAGTGTTTGTATTTTGATCTGTTTCATCTTTTGTGTTTGATGCTGTTCCAGCATTTGGGATGGGATTTAATGGCAATTTTATGAATTTCAGAGATATTTTAACTTGAAACTTTTTTGTGTGTAAATGAATGAATAAATTAAGGGTTTAGCTGATCACTTGAAGAAGCAGGATTTTCTCTAATGCAGAAGAAATGATGTTGAGTGAATTAAAAACTTCAGAAAGCAGGAGAGTGGCATATGGAACTCTTTTAAGTTAAAGTGGCTGCATGGAATCTTTAATATGTAAAAAGGTGAGACTTCAAAAGCCAGTGACAGGAAATAAAATTTAGCCTAGAAGAAGCTTAATAGTGGTAGTCATTTAATAGCAGATCTGTAGGCAAGAAGTTAGTATAATCCTTATTCTAAATAGAAACTTATACATAATGGAGCTAAAAATGAAGTATATTGCCTAAAGCAACTTACAATAAAAAAAAAGGATGACTAATGCTTTAGTAGTTTAAATAATTGCATTATTAATAAAGTACTTGTATTTTTATGTTTTTTCAAAGTATGGATTTACTAGTTATCACTGTCAGATATTACCCAAGAGAGTCACTTTTAAAAATATGAAAGCCTTTTTAAGCTCATCATCCAAATTCCCCTGATGGCAGTAACTTCACTTTTTATCCAGATGGTGGAAATATTTTCTGTTACAGGCTTTATAATAGTGAATCACATCTGGTTAAAATATTCTGTTATACTCTGCTTAGACTTGAAAATGTAAAGATAAATTTTATTCTTACAACAGCAGCGTGATGCTGAAATAGCTAGAACCATGATGGAAGAGCATGAAAGAGTAATAAAGGAGGAGAATGCCGCAGAGGACAGACGCAACAAAGTCAAAGCACAGTACTATGGTGACTTAGAGAAGCAATTGGAAGAACAAGAAAGAAAGAAGCAGGAAGCTTATGAGCAGTTGTTGAAAGAGAAACTCATGATTGATGAAATTGTTAGGAAGATCTATGAAGAAGATCAATTGTAAGTTTGTCCTGACATTCTTAAGTGGCTAAATACTGATATTAAATTTATCATCATTTTATGGTGACGATGTAAGACACCTAGGTCAGTGCCTGATACATACTAAGGACTTAGTAAATGTTGTTGTGTCTTTGAGTCAACTACAACTCATAGCAACCGTGTGAACAACAGCTTTGAACCTTGCTACCCTCACCGTCTCGAACATACCTAACCTCTTTGCTATAGTCACTGTGAAATTCATCTCATCCAGTGTTTTCCTCTTATGCTGACCTTCTGCCCTTTCAAACATGATGACCTTCTCTAAGGACTGACCCCTCCTGACAAAATGCCCAAAGTATATGAGATAGAATTTAAAAATCCTATCTTCCAAAGATCAGACTGGTTTCATTCTCTCCAGGATTGACCTGTTTGTTCTCTTGACACTGCGTGATATGTTCCATTCTCTTTTCCAGCACCACAACTCAAAAGCATTAATTCTTCTGTTATCCTTAGTCCTTGTCCATCCCTCAGATGCATAGTAAGCAATTAAGAAGACCATGGCTTGGATAAATGTTAGTATTATATAAAGTGAAACTAACTTTTCCCATCCTTGATAAACATGTAATCTTATTCTAAGAAATAATTCTTAAAGGACTGAAATACTGAACATTTTTCTTAAATATGTTCTGAGGCTCCGTCTAACATACTTTGGACATGCTGTGAGGAGAGACCAGTCCTTGGAGAAGGACATCATGCTTGGGAGGGTGGAGGGATAGCACAGGAGGGGAAGGCCCTCTATGAGGTGGATTGATTCAGTGACTGAGGTAATCGGGATGGGTGTGTCAAAGACAGTGTGATTGGGACAGGGCAGAGCACAGTTTAGGGCTGTTGCACATAGGGTTGCTATGAGTCACAAGCGACTCGACGGCACATAACAACAACATGTCCATAGTGTATGTCAGAACACATGCTTTCTGATTAATGTCCTTGGCAGACTGCTTAAGTGTATAACGATGGCAAAGCTTATGCAAACAGTTTGTGACCTTTCTAAAATTAGATGCATAAAAACGTCATTCATGGTTTATAGATGGCATAGTCTGTAGCAAGTTGTACTGTTAACTCAAAAGCTGTGTTTGTCTGTGGAGGCACTGTGAGAGAAAGATGAGCAGTCCTTTCCCATTAAAATGTACAGCCTCAGAAACCTGGTGGAGAGTCACTGCAAGTCAGAACCAACTCAATGGCAGTGAGTTTGAATTTTAATTTTTAAGACAGTCTTGTTGTCATTGTTGTGTACTATCAAGTCAGAACTGACCCATAGCTGACCATCCAGCAGATTTTCAGAAGCAGGAATCGCATGGCAGGAGATTGCCCGTCCTCCTGTGGAGCAGCTGGTGGATTTGAACTGTGTGCCTTTGAAATTGCAGCAAAGATTCTTACCATTAGGCCACGAGAGCTCCCTAAGAGAGGCATAGCAACATTTAAACGAGGATAAATCAGTACCTGCCATTATATTTAGCAGAATAGAATAGGTGCTTATAATGTTTGTTGCATAAATGAATGAACAGACTGAAAATGAAAGCCTTTCCCCGCTACATTATCAACAAAAAGAAATTGCTTTTTTAAACTTAAATCTGCTATATTATCTTTTTTATAAAACTATATATTATTGCTTTTTTAGGGAAAGACAACAAAAGTTGGAAAAAAAGAATGCACTGCGAAGGTATATAGAAGAGTTTCAGAAAGAGCGGAATGTCTGGCGGCAAAAGAAACGTGAGGAAATGGAAGAAGAAAACAGAAAAATTTTAGAGTTTGCCAATGTGCAGAAACAAAGAGAAGAAGATCGGATAGCAAAAATTAGAGAATATGAGGAAAAAAGACTACAGCTTCAGAATATGGTATTAATATAATCACTTCTCTAATGAGAAATTCAGAGATAGTGGTTATATAATTTTGTTCATGTGAATAATTGTGTGTTTCCAATTCTATAGCTGACTCAGAAATTAGAAGAAAGGTTGCGGCAACATGAAGATTTGGAACAAGTGAGGCAAGAATTATACCAGGAAGAGCAAGCTGAAATAGATAAGAAAAAACTAAAAGTAAGACTGTAAATTGAAAAAAGTATTCACATAAAGTAGATCCTTTTGAGGTGAGGTAGTAAAGCTGCCTTTTTAATACATCTTAACACTTCATCATACATTCCTAATTTTCTGTATCATGTAAACAGGTGAACATTTATGATATTTTATTTTCATTCATGGGAGGAATGATGAAGCATTGCTGCTGTTGCTGTGTGTTATCAAATCAAAACTGACTCATAGCTGACCCCGCAATGGGTTTTCAGAGGCTTTAAATTGCTCTGGAGAAGATTGCCCATCTTTCTCCTGTGAAGCAGCCAGGACATTCAGAGTGGCTGCTTTAGGGTTGGCAGTGCACCATCTTCCCTAATGAAGTGTTAGACTGAAGTGTTAGAATAAATACCCTGTAAGTACAGTCTTTTGCAAGAGTGTTTATGTTCTACGGTTAGGATGCCTTTCTGCTCATTTAACTTGTGTACCAGGTTTTTAAGTTTTTACAGTCAGCTTCATAAAGATTCCAGTCACGTACACCTTGCAGGGACATTTTGCTCTGTCCTAAAGAGCTGCTGTAAGTTAGATTCAACTCAACAGCAGTGAGTTAGGTTTGGACTTTAAGTATGACATTTCCTTAGACTAGGGCAGCTCTCTATAAGAATAGTGTGTTTTACATTTGGGCAGTTGGTGTTCTGTAGTATACTTGTGCCAGAATACCAGTCAGATGCAGTTATTACAAGAAGCGTACTTTTCCTTTGCTCTTTTAAAAAAAGCTATTCTCTCACATTCACTCAATGACACCTAACAGCAAAAGACTTTACTTGCATGTGCTATTAATGAAATGGTTCCATAATTTCCACTTTCTTTTGAATCACTTTTCTTTGCACTGCAAACAAATACAGATCTCTTCTAGTCACTTCTTCTAAATTTCTTGGCATAGGCCAGGGGGTACATCCAGGATTCTGTCTATGTATTGAAATACTTCAGTTGATATTCCACTAATTCCTGGGCTGCATTTCATTGCAACTTTGACTTTATCCTTTAGTTCTTGACCAAATGATATTTCCTGAACGCTTAGGTGTTCAACCATGATTTGTCTATCATTTTGCCATTCTGTGGTGACTTATGTGTTGCTGTGATGATAGAAGCTATGCCACCAGTATTTCGAATAAAAGTAAATTCACCTGTGGTAGACAGGTTTCAGTGGATCTACTAAGGAGCTCTAGTGGCCTAGTAGCAAGAAGCTGCACTATAATCTGAAAAGCACACAGCTCAAATCCACCATCTACCTTCTCCATGGGAGAAGGATGAGCTGTCTCTTCCCATGGGACTTACTGCCTCTGAAAACCTGCTGAAGAGTCAGCTATGACTGATGGAGAAGGTACGATTTGAAAAGGGATTCAAAAGTATGGCTGGGTGAAGAAGAATTTGAATAGTCAACATATATATAATGAATAAAGATGCTATACTGCAGATTGGCTTATGCAACACACTCCTACTTCTTTTTAAAATTTGTCTTATTTTAAAGATGGAAAAGCTAAACTATGTTTCTCAGACATCCCTTGTCATTCTTCATGTTATCTAGATTTTCTTTTGCAATTGACTGCCTTCCACTTCACCCCAAGGTCCCCTTCCTCCTACCCTCAGCCCTATTCCCAGTCCAGTCCAAGGAAGTAAATAAAGTGAGATAGTATCCACATGGAGGAAGATCATATCATTTATGGTAGCTGTAGCAGAGTTATAATGGAATTGAAGCATGGTTTCTTTGGCCCTCTTGAAAGTTGTAGTAAATCTCTTTCTGCATAAATCAGAACAGATTTCTATTGTCTGAAAGAACACATATTAATACAAGTGTTAAGTGATAAATTGAACAATTGAGGGATATTTCCTTTTAGTTTGTATCAGAATCAGACAAAACTTGCTAGAGGAAAGATTTAAAATTTATGTCAGTTTCAATTTTCTTTTTTCAATTTTATTTCTTTTATTTTCTCCCTCTCTTTTATTAATTTTAATGAAAGTTTACAGAGACTTAGGGTTTCCATTCATTCATTGTTGTACTTTTCTCCCTGCCCACCCCCTCCACCCAAACTTCACCAATTCAGCAGTTTCTACATGTGTAATTAAGTGACATTGGTTACATTTTTCATGTTATACAATCATTCTCACACTCCTTTGCTGAATTGCTCTCCCCACTAACAAACTCAGTAAACTCTCATTTCTTATCTCTTTTGAGTTGCTATTGTCAGTGTGATCCCATATAGATAATTCTAAAATTTACAGTTCTTATTAGTTGCTGTGATGTAGGTTCAGCTTAATAAGGAATAAACTTAAAACAGGTCAAAACATTGCCTGGTCCTGTGCTGCCCTTTAGAATAATTCTTTTGTTTGAGTCCGTTATTGTGGCCTCCAAGTAAGTCCGTCTAACTGAGGATCTTGTTAGTTTTAACGGAACTTTTAGTTTGCCAACTGTGATGTCCTTCTCTAGCAATCGATCTTTCTCGATGACTAGTTCAAAACAAGCAAGACTGTAATATAGACCTACCATCTTCACTTAGATTTATTCTTGCTGTACTTGCACCAGGTCATACATAGTGATTTGTTGTTTTGGTAGTTAAAGGTACAGTTAGTGTTTTCCAGCACAACGATTTGAATGCGTTAGTTTTATTTGGCCTTTGTTTTTTGTTGTCCATCTTTTGAATGCATGTGAAATAGATTGAATTACCATGATTTGGGACAGACACATTCAAGTTCCCAGGTGACATTTTTGCTTTTGGAACACTTTAAAAAGGTCTTTTGCTGCAGATTTGCTAATGTGATACAGAATTTGGTTTCCTAACTCCTGTTGCCACAGGCTTTGATTGTTGAGCCAAGAAGAATTAAATCCTGATGTCTTCTATCTTGAGGCTGTCTATTATTCCAGTTATAAGGGGTCTTTTTTTTGTTAGTAGTTTCTTCAAATTATTTTATTAGTGAAGAACATTGTGTCTGGTTCATAGATATAATACAGCAAGAATAGTAAAATGTTTTGGCATTAAATGTGAATGATCACTGTAAACTTCTTTCAACTTTTCAATATGCTTGCTGTTTTTCAAAATAAAATGTGTGTGAGAAAAAGTTTACATGACAAGACCTCACCTACTCAAAATCAGTTTAAATTTGAAAATAGGTTTGAATTTCCATGAAAGCTTCTGTTAACTGTTGGTGGATTATTATTTGTAAATTTAAAAAAAATATAAGTAGTAGAAGACGAGCAATGGAAAAAGCAGGTTTTACTTCATAAATGTGAGGGAGTTGGAAAAAGAAATGACTTATAATTGATTTGGACAGAAGTTTCACATGAGATTTTGAAGTTAACATCATTGTTGTGGCTTCAGAACTGATTCATCACCGACCCTCTGGCAGGTTTTTGGAGGCTGTAAATCTAGGGGATGCCCATCTTTATCCTGATGAGCTGTTAGTGGATTCAGACTGCCAGAGAGACACCACCTTTAGGTTAGCAGCACCACCCACTGCAGACTACACTACCAGAGCTCCATCCAAGTAAGGATACTTAAATGGTACAAATTTCACAAGCTATAGTAAACTCTGGTGTACAAAAACTTTTATGTCAACTTTTTTCCAAATGTAATGTATGTGTTAATTCTGAATATAGACAAAAGATAGTAAATATATACAAATTAAAATGGAAAACTAGGTAAAGACAGGATAATTTCTTCTGCAATTTGTTTCTTTCACTTTGATTGTTCAGCTTTTGCATGCATCTGAAATAATTGAAAGTTTGAAAGTTCCAAGCCTTTGTCCATGGGGTTGCACTGCTAAGAAAGAGGCTGTGTCTCTAACTGTTCAAATCTACCAGCTGCTCTGAGAGAGAAGGATGGGCAGTGTCTTCCTATAAGGATTTACAGCACCGGAAACCTGATGAAGGGTGTCCCGCTTGATGGCAGTTAGTTTGATTTTGTATTTAGTCCTCAAAGTGACACCTTTATTTTTGAAACTTTTAAAAGAGACCTTTTGCAGCAGATTTGGCCAATGCGGTATGCTAATACAGTGGCAGCATGACTTCTATCCAACCAGATTTTAAACAATCAGGCAAAGGTTTACCTTGAAAAGGATTAGAAAGTTTGTGCTTTCATATTGTAACTAAGAAGAAAGGCAGCTTGGGTGGCCTGTTCATGAGGAAGTTGTGCTGCCATCCCAAAGATTGGTGGTTTGAATCTACCACCTGTTCTGTGGGAGAAAGATGGACAGTCTCTTCTCATGTAGTTTATTACCTCTGAAAGTCTTCACAGGGTCAGCTATGAGTTGATTCCATCTAGAGAGCAGTAAGTTGAGTTGCGTTGTTGAGTTGAAACATAAAACAACTCTTTTCCACCCTTTCTATAAGTCCACCAGCAACTCTGATGGAGAAAGATAGGCACCTCCTGGGTGATTTAGAGTCTTGGAAAGCCAACAAAGAATCAGCTATGAGTCAGTTCTAATTTTGATTTATGGCAGTGAGTGAGTAAGAGTTCTAGGAATCAGATAAAAATAAACAGCTATTTAACTAACTTTTTTGCCATATTCTTATAGGAAGAAGAAGAAGAAAAACTGAGAAAACAAAAGGAGATGAAGCAAAATTTTGAAGAACAAATGGCATTGAAAGAATTAATCTTACAGGCTGCAAAAGAGGAAGAAGAGAGCTTTAGAAAAGCCATGCTAGCTAAACTAGCTGAGGATGATCGAATTGAATTAATGAATGCTCAAAAACAAAGAATGAAGCAATTAGACCACAAAAAGGCTGTGGAAAAACTCCTTGAAGAACGTCGTAAACAGTTCCTCGAAGACAAAGTAAGAAAAGGCTTGGAATTTTTGGTGGCAGTGGTGGGTCCGTTGTGTTTTTTTTCTTTCTTTTTTGGGGGGTCATTGTTACTGAACAGCAATGCATTGGTTTATTAATCCACTGAACCATTTACACGCCACACAATGTTAAGTGTCTGTTTAATAATAATGAGCCATTTTCTAATGCATTTAAAAAAATGTGTTGTGCCAGACACCAAACTGGTGTTGAGAACCAGAAGAAAAATCTAAGTTAATATTATCTGTGAAGCATAGTTTAAAGTAAGAAAAATCTTTTAAAAATAAAGATACATTAAACACCTATGAGAACATCATAATGGCCCAAGTATGGGAGAGAAAAGAATCAGATCATAACTCCCTCTGGATACTGTTTTCAAGAAGATGGAATTAATCTTATTGACAGTAGAAATGATAAAGAATTATGGAAGACAACCCAAATAATAGCACTGAGGGTAGATGTCAGAGGAGTAAGTATAAAACCAGTCAAGAAATTAATAAAATAATCTCAGTTATGGGTACTAAACCCTCATGTAAATTGAAGGATCCATTGAGCAGATGTCAAGGAGAGAGAGTTAATGAGTCATGGTCACCAACTGGATATGGATTAGTGGGAGGGAATTAACACTGCTACTAATAATAGAATACTATTACTTTGGTCTTTAGTGAATAAGTAATTCAAGTGTAAGGAGATGAGAACTTATTGACAGCAATGGATACGTTTAAACATTTTTAAAGGAAGAGAATGGAATGATATCTTTTACCATATAAGTAGAGTGGAACGAATAGTTAAAATAATTCTAAATTGTCAAACATTGAAAGTTTAAGGAATATAAGTACTGGTAAAAGTGGAGTTAAAAATGATAATTATTTACATACTATGCATATTACATTTGAATAAATATGCAAGTGGAAAATACTCTGAAGGCAGTTGAATAAAAGAGTACAGCTTAGGTCAAGTTTATTTTAGAAATGCAGGTCTGCAATGAATGAATGGAAATCCAGAATCTGTAAATGTTCATTAAAATTAATAAAATAAAATTTTTTTTAAAAAGAAATGCAGGTCTGGAAATAAGTAGCAAAGAGTTCACGCCAATATGTTACTTCAAAGACTGTATTGTATTATACTGAGAAATAATCAGAGGTCCAGTGACTGAGTCTTGGGAGAACATTCTAGTGTAGGAGCAGAATAAACCTAAAACCAGCAAGCAGCGATGTGTATGGTGAGAGAATCTAATGGTATAATCATTTAACTCAAGCAAGACAGCTCCTTCCTTTGCTTCTTCCAGAAAATTTTTGGTTTTCCTCTCCGGTTAAATTAACACCACTGTTTTACTGCCATTTTTCTAAATTCCTGAAGGACATAGTTGGAAATCTTGTGTGGTACCTTTGAATTTAGATTTCCAAAGGTGAATATAATGGACAAGCCTTTCTAACTCCTGTATCCTAAATCTTAAAGACAATCCAGCTACTCATTTACCCAAACCTGATAATCTGAAATCATTCGTGCATTCCCCGCATCTCTCTCACTTAATATTTCTCACTGAACCACTAAATCCTACTCATTCAATCTCAGCTGTAATTTATAAGTCCAGCTTCTCTTTCAGTATCCCAGACAGTATTCAGTATTCTCAGACAGTATCCCATTGCACTTCTGAAATTATCTTCTAATTTAAGGTGGAATGGGGACTCTATTTCATACTTTGGGAACCTAAGCCCCTAGCTTTTATTTGTGGCATTCTTTTGCAATTCTCTTTTTCTTCATGGTCTGATTTGGATTTCGAGCCTCATGCTCATGCTTCAAACAACAGAAAGAAGGAAATGGAGAAAGGATAGAGGGAAGTACATAGGAAAGATTCATGGAAGCTGCCACATGACAAGTTTTATTCAGTTGGACCAAACCTAGTGTTAATTATAAGCACCTCTGCTATAACGGAGTCAGAAATGTAGTCTAAAAAAATAAGTGTTGTTGTTGTTATGTGCTGTCGAGTCACCTGCAACTCATAGCAACCCTGCATACAACAGCCCTAAACCCTGCTCTATCCTGTGCCAGTCTCACTACCTCTGACACACCTACCCCCATTGATCCAAACACTGAATCAATCCACCTCATAGAGGGTCTTCCTCTCCTGCGCTGTCCCTCCACCCTCCCAAGCATGATGTCCTTCTCCACGGATTGGTCCCTCCTTGCAGCATGTCCAGGTATGTCAGATGAAGCTTCAGAATCCTTGTCTCCAAGGAGCCGCCTGGTTTAACCCTCTCCAGGATGAACCTCTTTGTTTTCTTAGCAGTCCATGGTACCCTCAACACTCTTCTCCAGCACCACAGCTCAAAGGCATCAATTCTCCTTCTATCTTCCCTAGCTATTGTCCAGATCTCTGATGCATAGCAAGTAATTGCAAAGACCATGGCCTGTATCAGGCACACCTTAGACTCCAGAGTGACACCATTGCTCTTCGGTACTCTGGAGAGGTCCCTAACAGCAGACTTTTCAGTAAAAATGCCATGTACAATTCTTGTACTGCATTTTACCTTGTTGTTGTTATATGCCTTTGAGTTGCCTGCAACCTTATGTACAGTAACTCTGAATCTTGCCCTATTCTGAGCCATTCTCACTGACTCTGACACACCTACCCCCTTTACTCCAGTTACTTTGTTACTCTTTCTGATCCCAGATCTGTGGAAAGAGCTATCAATGGGTAGAAGCATGACTTTATTTTCAATACTCCAGCTGTCAGTGTTGCTTGAGGATCAGTAACAATATGCATCTATTAGACTGTCAGAAAAGTGACAGAAGAATAGCCCAAAGGTTTTTCTCTCCACAGAAACCTAGAATAAAACTGCATTAATGTTGTCAGAACTCTAGGAAATAGTCAAAGGCTTACAGCAACCAAGTACATGCTGGATCAAGAAAAAGGCAACTGGGCATTTCCTTGCCCCTTCCTGGCTCAGGGGGGCCTTGAATATGGCCAGTACATCCCAATGTGGACTCGGTCTCTAGTACTGGAACAAACAGAGCAGCGCTTTTTCTCACAGAGTTTTGTCTGCTGTAGCCTGTCTGGGACTGCCTGAGGAACTGAAGCAAGGTGCTTGCCTTTGCAGTTTTGCTGAATTCAAGGGGAAAGCAAGTTATGCATAGGACATTCCTTGAAAATACTGACAGTGTATGAATTGTTGAATGGAAAACCAGTTTGCTTTATGAACTTTTACTCAAATCACAATAAAAATCTGGAAAACATATTGATAGACAAGTAAACAAAACACAGCTGCTGAGACAAAAAGTTACAGAGTGCTGCTGAGGTAGGGCCTCTCAGCACAGGGCCCATCCACAAAGACAGAGACAGCTTTTTCTGAGTTATTTTTTTATTATTGTTGTTGTTAGGAGTAGATTCCTGATATACAATGGAAGAGCTCTTATCAAAGTAATAATTGAACACTGGCTATAGGAACAGAGCTGTCAGAGACCACACATGAACAAAGACTTTCCAAAAATAGTTTAGAAAGGTTACTAAACAAACAATATCTCACAAGTACAAGGAGTCCAAAATAAGAAATCACAAATAAGCTTCATTCCTAAATCTATCTTTAAGTCAAATCTATCTTTAAGTAAAATATGTACATAAGGAGTAACAAAGCATTTGTTTTAGTATGGTGAATGTTCCTATGCATAAAAACCCTGAAACACTTACAAAGACAATAACATCTTTAACATAATATAGTAATAATGATGTTTTGATGCATTTTATAATGTAGTGCTTATTTGTTATTATGAATCATTTAATGTGTCTCAAATTTTTAATAACTTAGTGTTGGTTCCTAACTATTGGTTGTATATAAATCAGAAGTTTGTATCCCAAAGACTGCCTGTAGACACAAAAGACATTAAAAGGAAGACCGAGCTATTTTACATGACTCTTGAGAGCAACTTTATTTGCAGAAGCCAAAGGATGGAAACAACTCATATGTCCATCATCAGATTAATGACTAGACATAGTATATTATATACACAGTGGAATATTATTCCAGCCATAAAAAGGAAAACTGGATGGTCAGACCTTGAAACATGCAAAGTTAAAGAATCTAGGCACAAAAGGTCATGTGTTGTACAATTCTATTTATATGAAATATCCACAGTGAGACAGAGCAGATTGGTGATTCTCAGGGACAAAGGAGAAGTAGGGAGTGATTGTTTAATATGTATGAAATTTTTCTTATGAGATTTTTTTAGAGCTAACAACCACCTGGCCAACTGAATGGAAGAGATCCATATTTGTTCCCATTTCAAGAAAATGTGACCCAACAAAGTGCGGAAATTATAAAATAATATCATTACTATCACATGCAAGCAAGATCCTAAAGACTATTATCCAAAAATGAATGGAACAGCACATCAGCAGAGAACTGCCGATGTACAGCTGGGTTTGGAAGAGTCCATGGCACTAGGGATATTATAGCCAATATTGGATGGATCTTGGCTGAAAGCAGAGAGTAACAGAGGAATGTCTGTGTTTCATTGACTGTGCAAAGGCATTTGACACTGTGGATCACAACAAACTATGGCTGACTCTGAGATGGTTGGGAATCCCAGAACACTTATTTGTGCTTATATGAAACTTATTCTTGGACCAGGAGGCACTTGTCAGAACTGAGTAAGAAAACACTACATGGTTCAAATTCAAGAAAGGTATACACTAGAGATGCATCCTATTTCCGTACTTTTTCAATCTATATGCAGAATAGATCATCCATGAGGCTGGGCTCCATGAGGAGGAATGTGGCATCAGGATTGGAGGAAGACTCATCAAAAACCTGCATTATGAAGATGACACAGTCTTATTTAGAAAACTGAGGAGGACTTGAGGCATTTGCAATTCAAGCACTGCAGCTTTCAGTAGGGGTTGAAGCTCAACATCAAGAAAACAAAGATTCTCACCACCAATTGTTTGAGAGTAGACAAAAATAAATATGCTCCTGTGAAGCAATTCCAGTTTTAAATGGCATTGGAGATGATTGTGTCATGCCCCCCACCCTTCTTTGTCTTCACACAGCAACTTTGCTATTTATAGCAAACTAGGCAGAGGACACAGATATTCCTGACCAGGAATTGTCCAAAGAAATCATAATGAACTCCTAATTTTTTTTTCAAATTTATATCATGGACTTTTGGTGTGGTTGTCAAGAGACTATTAAGCATTATTTCCTGAGAAATTCTCTCTTTCTAGAACTCTTGGTACTGCTCTTGTGCTACATAGAGGCAGGTAGACCTCGGAGATACTGTGATGTAGGTTCCAGACCATTACAGTAAAACAAATAGTTGTTATTAGGTGACATTGAGTCAAGCATGACCCATTAACAACCCTTACTAATAACAGATCAGAACCCTGTCCTATCCTGTACCTTCCTCACACTTCATGACACGTTAGAGCCCACTGTGTTGATCCACCTGGTCGAGGGTCTTCCTCTCCTCCTCCAACTCTATACCTTTCCAAGCATTATGTCCCTCTCTAAGGAATTGCTCCTCCTAGCAACATGCAAATAGTTTTATTTGAAAATTTCTTATAATATTAATGAACCTTATTATAACAATAAAATTTTATGTCTATCTCCAGCAACGTGAACTGGAAGAGTGGCAACTTCAACAAAGACGACAGGGGTGCATTAATACAATTATTGAAGAAGAAAGAATAAAACTTCTCAAAGAACATGCTACAAAATTACTAGGATATCTTCCAAAAGTAAGTCACTGAATGTGTAATCTGAATAGGAAGTAGTGGGAAAACCCAGGAAATAATAGATGGGGAAATCACAGTTTTAGAGATTTTTAGAGGACCTAGATTTTACTCACTTATTGCCTTGTTACTAAGTGGCAATGGGACCTTGTATTTTAACTTCTCTGGATCCATGATTGCAATGGTTTTGGCATGCTCTTTGAATATGAGCTCCAGAACTTATATTCTGGAGGTTTTCCTGTCGCTTCTTTCAGGGAAAGAAGTCTTTTTTTGGGGTTAAGGAAACCCAGAAAAGAACCTAGATTTGTGATGCTTTGGTATACCAAAGATGATAACATGTATATGAAAATGTTGTAATTTGTAATACTAATAACAGATACATATTTAAATTGAGTCAGAGACAAATCTGCTGTGTAATAGTAAATTATTACTAATGCAGAAATGATAGTTTTTAACAATTCCAGAAGGTAACATATTTTCGTGTACTTTTAAGAGATACATTGTGGCTATAACATAGTAAGTTTCATGAAGCCAAGGATAAATAAAATCACTATTCTTCAAACATGGAAATTTCATTTTATATTTTATTCAATTAGAAGAATCAAGTGCATACTTTATATCAGCCAATGCTAAGTAATCCTGGAGAAATAGAGCATTATCAGTAATTATTGCCTGTCCTTAAGGACCATAAATTGTCTAATTGGTTAGGCAAGATTCCTGTATATGAAATGATGTATTGATGACAACAGTACTACGTAATTGATAAAATGGACTGAATTCCGAGACAGTCTAAGGATTTAATTGGCTTTTTTTGAAATTGTGGAAGAAAGGAGGTGTATAATGGTCTTTAGGCTGTAATAGTCTCAAATCAAGAGAAGTATTTAGATCCTTTAGATGTCAAGACAAGTAGATATTTAAGTAATTTATTCAAAAAGCCTTTTCCTATAAAAAGGAAAAGAAAATGAATGATGAATTTCAAAGGCATGTTTAAGTGGTTTAGCTCCAAACCTGGATTCTTTCCTACATCAATGAATGTTGCCTCATTAGCCACAGAACTGAGGCATGTGCAGTCCACTTCTTGCATGAAAGTTAGTAGTAAGCTCAGTCCTTCAGACCCTGGTCTCCCTCGTTTCACATGGTAGAGCTGTTTCAGACATAAGTGTACGGTACACACCTCAATAAGAAAAAGGAAACAACCCTTTACAAAATGGGGACAGAATATGAACAGACACTTCACCAAAGAAGATACTCATGAGAAACAAACACATGAAGAAATGTTCAATATCCCTAGTTATGGGAGAGATGCAAATCAATCAAAACAACTATGTAATATCAGTTCACCCCAGCAACAATAGAAAACTTCAGAAGGGCAGCAAACAACAAATGATGGAGAGGCTGTGGAGAGATTGGAACTCTTACTCACTGCTGATGGGAATGTAAAATAGTATAACCACTATTGAAGGTGGTCTAGTGCTCTCTCAAAAGTTGGAAATAGAAATATTATTTGACTCAGCAGTTCCACTACTGGGAATATACCCTAAAGAAACCAGATCCACAACTCAGATGTATGCACACTCATGTTTTTTGCCACATTATTCATGATAGTAAAGATATAGAAGCAACCCAAGTGCCCATCAATAAACTAATGGATAAAAAATTAGGGTACATCCCCACAATGGAATAATACACAGCACTGAAAAATAATGAAATAGTAAAACATTGCTCTGCATGGGGGAGTTTGAGGACATTATGCTAAGTGCTGTCTCAGTCACAAAAGGACATATACTGTAAACAGCTGTTATAAAATAGGACAGATGTGGGTGGGAGGGAATGGGGAAAGAGTGGATAGATAATGAACGCTGCATTAGGACAGAGAGGAAGAACTACCTGAAAGGAATGTAAGATTATGCATTATATGAGAACTATCTGGAATAATGGGTGCATTGCAGTGTGGGCTAGGGGAGAGGTGAGAGAAGGGAGGGGGGGAGAAATGTGCAATAATGAAGACATTTTAAGAAAAGAGAAGTTTAGGGTAAAGTATAAGTTAAATTCCTTCCTGTCTGGCCAATCCAAATGGTAGTAATTGTAAAGTAGCAGAATCTAGATTCATATCACATTTCTTCCCTGGAGCTGATAAATTGAATAGGACCATTTGAGAGAACCAATCTAAAATTGTACTAATGTCATAATTTTTAGAAAATATTGATAATCCTAAATATTTCTTTAAGTTTACTGAGTTGATTTCATTTATTTTGGAATAACTTTTTATTAACTTTATGTCTATAATAGTGTTAAAGACATGTGGTGAAATATTCTGGTATGCGGAAGTAATCCATAATATTTTTCTCTTGCAGGGAGTAATTAAAAAAGAGGATGATATCGATATGCTTGGTGAAGAGTTTAGGAAAGCATATCAGAGAAGAAGTGACATGTGTCCAAAGAAGTAAGATCACTGGCATTTGATAAAACCAGAATTCTTATGTGTGTTACCATTAGATGGCAGCATAACTTTGTTTTCTAGTTGAGCAGCAGGAATAATCCATTAGTATATTGTCTCAAATATTATCATCTAATAATCTGTACTCAGTGATCTACAAGAGAACAATTTTAATAAAAATATTACTGCATAATTTTTGTAACAGCAAAAGTAATTATTTTATTTTTGTACTGATAATTCAGAAGTCTAAATTCTCTATCATATTACATGTCATATAACTCATTGCCACTAAGTCAGTTCTGGCTCAGTGACCTTTCTTTGTCTGCCCCATAGGCAGTTTCCAAGTCTGTAAGTCTTTATAGAAGCTATCATCTGCCAGGGAGCAGATGGTGGGCTTGCATTGCTCATCTTTTGGTTAAGAGCCAAGTATTTAAACACTGTGCATCAGGGCTCCATGTTCTCTGTGTTCATATATTTATGCATACACATATGAGAAAAACAAGCCAAATTCAAGATACTGACTTATTAATACTACTACTGTTCAGTCTTTTGCCTGCATCCCATTCCTTCAGGCAGTTTATTTAAAAAAACGTTGAAAAAATTTTGAAATCATGGAAATACCAGTTTTGCCGGTCTATTAGAGCTTTGTGGCACTCCCAAAACAGTGAACCTTGACATCCTTGATACTCTTGACACCTTTAATCCACCCAGGGAGGTTACTATTCATCTAAATGAAAAACAGGCCTATAAAGTGAGTTGTGAACAGTAATACTCATGAGGAATTTATTCCTGACAACAGTCAACTCTTTGAGACTAACTGGGCACCATTTGCCCCCAAAACAAAGCTTGCAAGGCAAGAAAAGGCAGGAAAGAAGAAAGCATGGAAATGAGGAATCTAGAGACAGAGTGGGAAACATGTTGCACTGAGGTGACTGCAACTAATGTCACAAAATAAAATGCATAGAAATTGACTGAAAAACATTAGCTCTCTGCACTTGTACCCATTCACATGCACAAAAGACAGCAATATCCACCACAACCAACACTTCAGAACTCTAGCCTGAAGTAGACTGTCCTTTGTCCATATTATCATACTTTCATTTAGTAACTCTTCTCTGGTTTGATTTTAAGTCCTCTTTTTTGTGTACTGTCAAGTGAGTGAATGTTGTTGTTGTTATGTGCCATCCAGTCGCTTGCGACTCATAGCGACCCTGTGTACAAGAGCCCTAAACGCCATTCTATCCTGTGTCAACCTAGCCATTTCAAACACACTCATTCCCACCACTCCAGTCACAGAACTGACCCATCTCATCGAAGGTCTTCCTCTCCTCCACCGCCCCTCCACTCTGCCAAAAATGATTTGGGGAGGAGAGAGAGGCAGAGCTTTTCCTGATCTCCACACTCTATCCCAGTATCCCAGGAAGCCCTAGCCAGCTCGCACCCCGATGCCATTGCCAGATTGTACACTGGTCCTGGAGGATACATCCTTCTCTCCTGGTTAGCCACCCTCTTGCATCAGCACCTGGCTTCAAATGGAAGACAAGTGGTATTAACCCATGAGAAGGCAATACTGCGGTGGAAGTTTAAGAACAAGGACTTTTTCTCAGAACCTTCTCAGAAAAGAAGTTGTACGTTACAGTTGTACTTAACAACTCTAAATTGAAGTCATACTGGCTGCATCATAAGAAACTTATAGCAGGATTATATGTTCAGAATCACAGAAATGCTGATGGCTTGAGACTTAGGCCATCACATCAGGGGCTGGTCAATGGGAGACGGGTGTTGAATGTTGTAAGCAAAAGTAGGAAGGGTTGGCGGTGGAGTAGGGAAAGGGTGGATTAAAAAAAAACCAAAACAAACAATCCAACAACATGTAGCAGGGGTGAGCAGCAACACTGACTCTATTGGTCATTTTTATAACTGGCCAAATGTCTTTCATCTGCTGTTTTCTGTTGAATGCTTATCTATCAGATATATATATATTTCAAAATTGAGACAGACTACGACGAAGGATTGGCTATCCACTTCCAAAATGACAGGCCTTCAAAAACCCTATGTATAGAGGGAAGAATTTCAAAGTACTTTATTACCAAATGCATTTATCAATTAAAACAGGATTTCAGGCCTAGTGGCAAGAAGCTGCAACTGCAATCTCAGAGATGCACGGTTCGAATCCACCAGATGCCCTGCTGGAGAAGGAGGAACAATCTCCTCCTGAACTAGTCAGATCAGATTTAACGGTACACAAAAAATAATGGAATAAATTTTTTAAAATGACATAAAAAAAACCAAACAGGATTTCAATCAGATAAACTTTCATTTATGAACTAGAGCTAACTCTCCATACGGTAAAATATTTTATGTATTCAAGTAAAGTTGGGGAAACATAAGAAAAAGGGTGAGTAGGTCATTGTTATTATGTGCTGTCCTCCGACCCATAGTGGCCCTATATATAGCAGCTCTGAACCCTTCCCTGTCCTGAGCCAGTCTCACTAATTCCAACACACCAACCCACACTGCCCCAGTTACTGCATCAATCCATCTTATCTGGGGTCTCCCTCTTCCAAGGACCAGTCTCTCCTGTCCACGTGCCCAAAGTATGTGAGATGGAGCTTCAAAATCATAGCTTCCAAGGAGAAACTTGGTTTCACCCCCTCTAAGACACACCTATTTGTTTTCTTGGAAGTCCATATTGAAGACTACAGTCGACCTTCTGCAGGTCCTTAGTTTCAGCAAGCAGGGTTGTGTCTTCTGCCTATCTCGTGGTTGATGAGTCTTCTTCCAATCTTGATGCCACATTCCTCATCATAAAGCCCTGCTCCCGAATGATCTGTTCTGCATACAGGTTGAAAAGTTATAGGGAAAGGTTCATCCCTGACTCACTCCTTTCCTGATTTTGAACCATATAGTGTTTCCTTGCTCTGTTCTGACGTCTGCTTCCTGATCCAAGTAGAGGTTTTGCATAAACACAATCAAGTGTTCTGGGATTCCCATTTTTCTTAATGTTAGCCACAATTTGTTGTGATCTACATGGTCAGATGCCTTTGCATAGTCAATGAAACACAGACAGTCCTCTGGTATGCTTTGCTTTCTGCCAAGATCCATTGGACATTGGCAGTAATGTCTCTAGTGCCACAAACTCTTCTAAACCCAGCTTGTATTTCTGGTAGTTCTCTGTCAATGTCAATTCCAGTCATTTCTAGATAATCTTCAGGAGTTTGCTAGTGTGTGATATTAATGATATTGTTCAATAATTTCCACAGTTGGGTCACGTTTTTTGGAAATGGGAATAAATATGGATCTCTTCCATTCAGTTGGCCAAGTAGCTGTACTCCAGATTTCTTGGCACAACTTGGTTAGTATATCCAGGGCAGCATGTTTGTTGAAATAAATCAATTGTTATTCCGTCAGTTCCTGGGGCTTTGTTTTTTGACAAGTCTTTCTGGTCAGCCTGAACTTCCTTCTTTATCACCATTGCCTCTTAATTATGTGTTTCTTTAAATTCTTGTGTGTCTGCCACTTATTTTTGGTATAATGACTCTGTATACTCCTTCCATCTTCTCTTAATGCTTCATGAATCCTTCAGTATTCTTCCCTTAAGCATTACAACCCATGACTTGAATTTGTTCTTTAGTTCCTTCAGCTTAAGAAATGTTTAAGCTTAAGCGAGTTCAGCCCTTTTGATTTTCTGACTCTAGCTCCTTGCACATTTTAATACTTTGCCTTGTCTTCCCAAGCTACCCTTTGAAATCTTCTGTTCACCTCCTTAACTTCTTGATTTCTTCCCTTTGTTTTGATTTCTCCGTACTCTAGTGCAATATTCAGTCTCTTCTGACATCCACTTTGGTCTTCTTCTTCCTTCTTTGTAATGACTTTTTGCATTCTTTATGAATGAAATTTTTTTCTATCTTCCAACAGATCATGTGGTCTTCATTCATTGGTGTTCAAGGCCTAAAACCTATTCCTAAGGTGGTTTTTAAATTCAGGGAGATAGAGTCAAGATCAAATTTTGATTCCTGTGTATATGATTTAACCTTATTTAGCTTAAATTTAAACTTGCATATGAGCAGTTGATGGTCTGTTCCACAATCAGCACCTGGCCTAGTTTTCACTGCTGATACTGAGCTTCTCCAACTATTCCTTTCACAGATGTAATTTACCTCATTCCTATGCATCCCATCAGGTGAAATCCATGTGTATAGCCTGAGCTTATGTTTCTTATAAAATGTATTTGCTATGATTAAGTCTCCTTATGACGCCTTTGAGCTGTGGTGCTGGAGAAGAATATTGAATGTACCATGGACTGCCAAGAAAACAAACAGATTCTTCCTAGAGAGGGTTAAACCAGGCTACTCCTTGGAGGCAAAGATTCTGGGGCTTCGTCTGACATACTCTGGACATGTTGCAAGGAGAGACAGGTCTTTGGAGAGGGACATCATGCTGGGTAGAGTAGAGGGACAGCGAAGGAGGGGAAGACCCTCTATGAGGCGGATTGATTCAGTGACTGGGGTAATCGGGATCGGAGTGTCAGAGGCAGTGCGATTGGCACAGGATAGAGCAGGGTTTAGGGCTGTTGTACATAGGGTCGCTATGAGTTGCAAACGACTCGACGGCACATAACAACATGATTAAGTCACTGATTGTAAAGAATTCTATCTCTAGCCTCATTTCTGTCACGAAGTCCACATTTTCCAAGTAGTGATCCTTCTTCCTAGTTCTCAACTTTTTCATTCCAGTCACCCATTATTAATGCATGTTGATTACATTACATTACATATTAGATCAATTTCTGACTGCAACAGTCGATAGAAATCATCTGTTTCCTCCTCTTTGGCTCTGGCTGTTGGTGCATAAATATGAATGTTAGTGGTATTAACAGGTCCTTCCTTGTATGTGTATGGATATTATTCTGTCACTCACTACATTGTATTTCAAGATGGATCTAGAAATGGCCTTTTTAACTATGAAAAGGACCCCGTTTCATCAAAGCATATAAAAAGTTAAATTTTGACTGCTTTATTTTATAAAATTTTACAAAATCTTTCAGTGTATCAAAT